GGCACACGAAAATTCCATTTGGGGCTGACTTATCTCCGTGCCAAAAGTAAGTCATGCCTCAAGTTTCATTTCAAACTCATATTCATGGCTGTCTTGAACAAATTAGTTCTTAGAATTCTCCAAGTAATCAGAGGTCTCAACATATAAAGAAACTACTTCAGTCTACTTTCTGTCTTCCTAACATAAAGTGTGTTTCATTAGGACTTCTAACATATCAAGGCTGCTTAGATAATCATTCACTGAGCTCTAGGTCCTGCTTTAGGCCATAAAGCTTCTTCACAGTACACTTTATCTTCTTCACCCCTTTACTTGATAACCTTCAGGTTCTCCACAAAGATTTCCTTACTCAACCCATTTAGGAAGCCGATTTAACATCAAGCTGGAAAATTCCAGCCAAATTGGGGCCCATAGCAGAAGAAGTAACTGTATAGTCATGTCTAGCCACCGGAGCATGTGTCAGAAAAGTCCACCCCTTGTTGCTGTGCAAAGCCTTAGCCACAATCTTGTTTTATGTTTATGACTGATCCATCGATTAACCTTCAACTTGTAAATCCATTTTACTTGGATTATTTTCCTATTTTGGTCTTCAACAATTCCAGTTGTTTTTCTCTATCTTGATATCCTCCGACTTCATTCCTCCAGCTTCTATCAGCAGCTTAGCATAACCTTTGGTTCAACCATGCCATTATACTCCTTGCATATACGTCAACCAGGTTCTAGTCCCCTAACCGAAGGCTCTTATCCTCTTCATTTCAGCTTCTTCAATCAGATTCTCGGTTGGCTGCTACAGTTGCAGTCTACATCAATCTTCTTATCCTCCCAATTCCAAACTGCATTTTCATCCACTTTTATCCCTTGTAATCACAATTTCTTTGACTCAGGGATGTACACTCTGTAACCTTTGGATGTGCTGTTGTATCCTATGAATATACATCTCCCTTGTCATCAAGTTTAGTTCTTTTGCTTGCTGGAACTATAACATAACATATACTCCCAAATGTCTTCAAGTTGCCCAATGCTAGTTTAATTCCACTCCAGCCTCACGGGAGTTTGGCTCTTGATTGCTTTAGTTGGCATCGTGCAGGAGATAGACTCTTGTATTGAAAGCCTCACCAGAATTCTTGGGAAGCTTCTTCTCTACCATCATACACCTTGTCATCTCCTATGATGGTTCTGTTTTTCTTTCATTGACCCCATTCTGCTATGGGGTGTAAGGAGTGGTAACTGGTGCCTATTCCAGCCTCTTGACAGATTGAACAAATTTTTTGATGTGTATTCTGTTCATATCACTCTTATGGCTTTGATCATTGTTCCAGCTTGATTCTCCACTAGCAAGATTTGAACTTTCTGAACTATAGCAGCTACTTCATTTTTCTGCTTCAGAAGTAACCCATGTCATGCGTGTGAAGCATCTAATAAGAGCACAAAGTACTTGCTCCCACTCATGGTTTCAGCTTGCATAGGGCCACAAACATCAGTTGTCAGCTGGAGTTTTCCAGTTGCTCTCCAGGCCTTATCCAAGGAAAGGTGGCCTCTTAGCTTACCAAGTTGGCAAGTACTGTAGAGGCTTTTCTTCTCTTCAATCTCAGGTAGGTCCAGAACCATATTTTTGTTCCTTAACTCTTTGAGACCATTATAGTGAAAATGGCCAAGTCTTTGTCCAAAATTTCAATTCTTCCAGCCTAGATGACAGGCTAAGTTGCTGGTTTTTCCACTCAACCGAGAAGCTTTTTCCAACATTTTCATAACATTAATTCATTTCCTTCAGCATCTAATATAGTACACCTGTTTTGAAATGTAGAGAATAACCCTCTTCTAACATTTGCCAACACTCAAAAGTTTTGACTAATTTTTAGGCACATAAGACTTTGAGGGATAATTTTAGTACCTGCCAAATTGGACACCACATCTCCTATGCCTTTGACTCCACAACATCACATTTCCAATTTTAACTTTGGAATTAAGTTGTCCAAGTTGATGAACTTTGCAAGTCTGCAACCATGTGGTTGTTGCAGCCACTGTCATCACCAGGCTTCATTTGATTTGTGTTGTGTAAACGGAGGCCTAAAGAGTTGTTCAGCCTCCTGACTTTGCTACTGATCTTCTCCAACCCGAGCTTGCTGTGTTGCTGGCTTCCTTGTTTCTTACAACCTTTTCTATGTGTTCAAATTGTTTGCACCTCTACATTGTATCCCTGGTCTATACCAGCACCTCCTCTCCGAATGTCCCTTTTTTTGCAGTGAGTTCATTTTCTATGTTTGTTTGTAGTTATTTATTTTTCCCTTTTTTTGGTTGTTTTCACAATGAATAACTTCAAAGTTGGCATATGCCAGATTATTAATTTCAATATGATGGATAAATACAAATTAAAGTGCTAAATCCCATCTATAAAGTAATGCTTTTGACAGAGAGGAAAAGTGTATGAAAAAATAAAAGTGATTGTAAAGAGTACCCTATAGCTGGTTGACCATGAGTTAGGAGTTGGATTTTACCTTCAGCTTTCTTACTTCGATCTCTTTGGCTGGGGAGAGTCCGGCGATGAGAGCCTTGTATTCGGCTCCATTGTTGGTGCACTTGAATCTACATCGTATGGCCCGTTGGATGATATCTCCTTCTAGTGTAGCAGGTACAACACCAAGCCCGCTCCCAGTCACGTTACTTGAGCCATCCACTGAGAGAGCCCACTTTGAAGGCGATCTACTATTCATGCACAATAACTCTTTTTCCGCTTGGACGGTGGTGTTTGGGCTGAAATCAGCAATAAAGTGTGCCAATGCTTGGGATTTGACGGCGGTGCATGGTCGGAAAGATATGTCGAATTCACTAAGCTGTACGGTCCATTGTGTGAGTCAGCCTGAGAACTCTGGCTTATGGAGTATCTTCTTCAGTGGGAAGGAGGCGAGTACGACTATGGAGTGGCATTGAAAGTATGGTCTGAGCTTCCTGGACGCATGGACGAGGGCGAGTGCCAGTTTCTCCAGCTGATTGTATTGTGTCTCCACATCGACGAGTGATTTGCTTACATAGTAAACTGGTAACTGCTTCGCATTATCTTCCCGAACTAACACTGCTGAGATTGCTATCTCTAAGACTGTCAGGTAGGTGTAAAGCTTTTCTCCAACCACAGGCTTGGAAAGGAGCGAGGGAGAGGTTAGGTAACTCTTTAACTGTTGCAAGGCCTCCTCGCGGGTGGGGGTCCAATCAAACTTCTTGGATTTCTTTAGTGTGAGGAAGAAATAGTGGCACTTATCAGTGGATCTGGAGATGAAGCGGCTCAAGACGGCTACTCAGCCTATGACGCGCTAGATGTCTTTGATGCAAGCTAGTGATGGTATGTTAAGGATCGCCTGGATTTGGTCAAGGTTGGCTTCTATCCCACGCTGAGTTACCATGTATCCCAAGAATTTTCCTGATGAAACCCTGAACGAATATTTGGCTGGATTCAACTTCATGTTATACTTTCTTAAGACGGCGAACACCTGGCCGAGGTAGTCGAGGTGTTGCTTTGCCATGAGGGACTTGACGAGCATGTTGTTGATGTATACTTCCATGGTGTCCCCAAGGTGTTCGGCGAACATTCTGTTGACTAGCAACTGGTAGGTAGCCCCAGCGTTCTTGAGGCCAAACAATATCACTTTGTAATTAATAGTAGGTCCCCCTCTCCGTGATAAAGGTTATTTTCTCCTGGTCGTCCGCATGCATCAAAATCTGGTTATACCCTAAGAAGGCATCCATGAAGCTTAGGAGTTTGTGACCTGCTGTCGCATCGATCATCATGTCGATAAGTGGGAGTGGGAAAGAGTCCTTAAGGCATGCTTTGTTTAAATACGTGAAGTCTATGCAGACCCTCCACTTTCCTTTCTTTTCCTTCACGACTACAACATTTGCTAGCCAGTTAGGATAGTGGACTTCTCTGATCAGCCCATTATTCAGTAGTTTATCAATCTCCTCATTGACAATCCGGTTGTGTTCTGGTGCGAATTTTCTTCGCTTCTACTTTATTAGAGGGTGATCTGGATCTACTCGGAGGTGGTGGAGGATTGCCTCGGGCTGACTCCTATCATGTCTGCATAGGACCAGGCGAAGCAGTCCTGGTTTTGTTTAAGGAATTCTATGAGTTGCTCTCTTATCTAGGGCCCGGGGTGAGAGCCAACCTAGGTCTTTCGGTTGGGGTGGTTCAGGTGTATCTGTGTTTCATCCAATTCCTCTATGGATAGTTGATCTGGCTCAGTCGAAGGGGTTCGATGAGACTGTGGTTGCTATGAAGCATGGCCTTTGCTTTTGAAGGTATTTTTGTAGCAGTCTCTGGAAGCCTTAGGATAGCCCTTAATTTCTCTTACTCCCCATTTCGTTGGAAACCTTATAGCTCGGTGGAAGGTGGATGGAACAGCTCGCAGTCATGGATCCAAGGTCACCTCAAGATAACGTTGTATGGTGAAGGGCAATCGAGCATAAGGAAAATGGTTTGCTTGTTGACTCAGCTAGTGTAAACAGGCAGAGCGATTTCTCTGATGGTGTACTTCTGCTTGGAACTGAACCCGACTAGTATGTTTGGTCATCTGCTGATGTTTGTTTCATCTAGTCCTATGGCCTTCTTCAAGGAAGAGAATGTTTGCCGAGGATCCTCCGTCTATGAATACTCTCTTGACCAGGATGTTGACAATCTGGAGGGAGATGACTAGAGCATCATGATGAGGGGTGGCAAGGGTCACTGACTCGTCATTTTCAAACTGAATTACCTAGTTGGTGTGCGACTAAGAGGGCAGATGGATGGATTTGACTTCAAGGTAATGGTTGGCTTGGGCATAGTGCTTGGCCGAGGAATAGCTTACTCCAGTGATCTCTGACCCTTTAGAGATAATAGAGCAGAACCCCTTTGGTGTAGGTTCTCATGGAGAAGGAGATGTTTTCTTCGAGCTTCTCTGGGTGACTATATTCCTCTCTTTATCCGTCAATAGATCTCAGAGATGTCCCCTCTTCACTAGTAATGCGACTTCCAATCATAGGGCGATGCAATTTGTAGTGTTATGACCATGGTCACCATGGAATTCGCACCACTTGGTCGTGTCCCTCCTCACTTTGGGATTAAGCTTGTTCAGCCACTTAACGGTAGGTCCCATCCCTTTCATGATTGCAACAACCTGAGCTGGTTCGACGTTAAGGTTAAACTCTGGAACTTTGTTTTGGTTCGAAACAGATGGTCTATTGTCGGCTTTGGCTAGCTTGTGGTCATATGGTTTTTTGACTTTGTTCAGATTACGTGGAAGGGGTTGATAATGGGGCTCAATCGATCTAGACTCTGATCTTCTATCATTCCGTCTTTGGTGATGGTTATCATATCTGGCATGCCTCATCTGGTTCATCTCATCTTCTTCCCACCTTATTTGAATCATAGCTCTGGCTAGGGTTTCTTCCATTGTGATGCAGCCGAGCTTCATTAGGTCTTTGTATAGTTCTCCATCTAGGAGGAGACCTTTTCTGAAGGTGTCTACTGTCATCTTTGGATTGCAAGACCGGATGGAGATATTTTCTTTGTTGAATCTGTTGACGTATTTTCTCAGTGGCTCCCCCCTCTTCTGGTAGACTCTGTATAGGTCGGTCGATAGCTTCTCAAGTTTCTTGTTGCTGGCGAATTGTTCAATGAAGGTGTCGACGAGTTGGGCGAATGAGCTGATTGTATTGTTTAAGAGATTAGTTTACCACGGTAGAGCTGGGCCGAAGAGGCTTGAGCCGAAGCTCTTACACATGTAGGCTTCCCTTAGTGTTCGGGGTATCGAGACGATAAACATCCGCTGCTTGTAGAAGGCTATGTGGTCATCTGGGTCGGTTGTGCCGTCGTAGGGCTTCATGCTGGGGATGGTGAATTTGTGAGGCATCTCGGCTAGCGCGATTGCATCCACAAAGGGTGAATCGGCATAGCAGTAAGGTTGGCTCTTTTTGGTTGGGATTGGCACTCCTGGTATGCGCCTCATCGCTGCCTTTATGTCAGCTAGTCTTTTTGCCAATATCTGCTCCATGGGAGAGGCGAAGACCACTAGGTCATCCTGGTTGACTCGGTTAGTCATATGATTTGCACTCGGTGCGTTTTGTGGGTCAATCCACGTGGTGTAACCTGACGGATCATTTCGTCATGTGCCGCTTGGTAGCCCAGATCTCCATTCATTCCCTCCGGTTGGGTGGCTTCCGTTGTGACCGATCGGGTGTTTCGCCCCACATGGATGGTTAGAGGGGTTATTTGTGATTCGCTCAGTCCGTTGGGATGGTTGGACTCGAGCAGGATGGTGTGAAGGAGAGGGAGCCCGCTTGACCTGCGAGGATGAGTCGAGCCGAGTGGGGTTTAGGTAAAGATGGTTGACTGAAGGTGAGATGGGATGGCAAGGATGGGTGGCTCTCGTTGTGGCGGGCTTTTTGTCACTTGGACGCCTTGATCTCGTGCTTGAAGTGGATCAACCGAGAGTGGTTCTATCGGTAGCCCCCGTTCACAATGATTCAAGGCTGAATCATCCACTAATGAAGAACATAGTTGGCGCGATCTCGTATTCGAGATCGTTGGTCTCTGCTCTGGAGTTTGGACAGGTTGCATAGAAGGAACTGATGCATGCAACCGATTAGGTTGTATTTGACAAGGCAGAAGCTCAAGATCATAAAACCGACTTACCTTCTCTTTTAGAGACTGGTTTTCAGCCCTGATGGAGGCGTTTTTGGTCCAGATGGCAGTGTTTTCAGCTTCCAGTGCAGTCACCTTGTCCGAATGCTGTTGCATATGGGCAGTTAGAGCTCCCAGTTTGGCCTCAAGGCTAGGGTTACTGTTATCAGAATTTTCAGCCATAGAAAGTTCTTTACGTAGCAGGGTCTGTGAGACGAATGATTGCCAAAGGCCCCACGGTAGGCGCCAAACTGTAGATGTAAAAATCTACCTTTACGAAAATAAGGACTGATCCCGTGAAGTTAAGGCCACTAGCGATCTGCTGCACCCGCACACGTAAGAAAACAAGCGTGAAGCAGACGGAAAACACCGGGGTTGTGTTTGTCGTAGGCACTCCGATACTCAAGTCAGTAAGGCTGAGTGAGGCTAATTTAGTGAGGGTTAGGGAGAGAAAAGGTTACCAGAAGTCTAGTCGGAGAATGTAACTCTGGTTGTAATGCGAAGTTGTCAAGAGCGGGAACTTCGGGGTCTGAAGGTGTAATGTCTCTGTCCTTTGTGAGAGGGTTGACCTTTGTTTATATAGTGACTGCAAGGTCTTCGAATCCTGATGGGATTGGGAATCCTTGCAGTGCTGGTTTTATGAAAGAGTGGAGCCTTTGGCTCCCTTACCTCAGTAGGAAAAGGAGTGCTAGGATACGGACCTTAGATGAATCAGGGTAGTGATTGACTTCTTTAGTAGAGTTCAAGTAGTAATATAGTTCGTAGGCGGCTCTGGGCTCCAAGTTGATGGTAAGTCCAGAAGTTGTTTTAGGATCAAAAGGCCTGGGTCCAAATAAGCTGGCCGTGAGGCCTAAACGGATCGAGCCTCTACTAATTGGGTCCGAATGGTGAGCAACTAGGAAAGCATACCAGACGGGCCTTATCTGCAGAACTTTGTTGTGGGCCCAATCGGAATTGGGCCCTAGCTTCCAGCTTTGTTGAAGGTGTCTTCGTCTCCCTCATCACAGATTTACATAATTTTCATTTTCTTCCAAAACAAAAAGCAAAGACAATAGGAGCTAGCTGTTGGGAACATTCCCACCACCGCTATAAATTTTTTCTTGTTTTACAACCAAACCCTTAAAGCCTTAAAGATCACACACATACAAATAAATAAATATAAATATAAATATAAGTTAATAATAAAAATAAAAAGGATCCCATTCAAGTTATTTTATTCACCAACTCAAAAGAGCATTCTCCAAAGCATGAGATTCAAAGCAAAAGATTGAAAGTTAACCTTTCCTTTTACATAATCCGTTAGCATGTATATCTCTCTCTTGTCTAGTTACTTATTCATCATTGAGAGAATTTGGTACACTTTTTATAATGAAATTATAAAAAAAAAAAAAAAAAAATTATTTGAAAAAGAGTTGGATAGAAAGCAAATTAGGGCTTTGAAAAATATTTGTTTATGATAAGAAAGGGTACATATATATATAACAAACAAACACACAAATCACAAACAGTAAAACAAATAAGAGGTACACACGATTTAATATTCATACTATATATGTTGTATGTTGAATTTAATTAATGGTTGAGGTATTAAGTTAATGATAGAAGACAATTCACGATATATTATATAGGTTCTATTAATTACATCTTCACTTGAAAATTTTTGTATTAGACATTTCTTTCATTTCTCAAGAGTGAAGTATAATTAAAACCTACACTTTCAGCCTCCTTATAATACAACTTTCCTACAATGCAGCCTTTGCCAGAAAATGTTATATGCTCAGTGACACTTTATAGTATCGATGTATGTTACATGTTTCGACGCTATTGGATCCTGTTGAAACAATCAATGGTAAAGTACAATTTTTTTACCTACCACATTTGTGATTTACCTGACCCATTGAGTTTGTAGAGTGTTCAATAAACCCTAAGGATTGGTTGAGGTACACACAAGCTGACATAGACACTCCCATCACCAACAAAAAAAGTACAATTAATGATCAGTACTTAAAAATTCTTACATATACATAGATAAATGCACATAAATATATGTGCATTTATGTGAAAACAAAAAAAAATAGAAAGGAAGAAAGCTCAAAACTTCATCTTCACCATTTAAACCCCAAAAGATAAACACTTCCTCCTTTCAAACAAATCCATTTAATTTTTCTCTTTATACTTTCTCTCATAAACCATAAACCCTAAGCGATCAAAATTTACTCATGAAACCAATAACAAGAACACAAAATGAAAAAACTAAAACATACCCAGTTGAAATAGAAGCTTCATCTCAAGNATTTTTCCATGTAGGCAAATTGTCCGACACTTGGCTGTATTTTATTGGTGCTGATTTGGATTCTTGACATTTGGCTAGATGTTATTGGTCATGATGTGATATAGATTAATGAGTTGGATTTGATAGTATATGTGGCTTCATAAAATTGGTATTTGATATTGTTTATTGTTAATGACAGATATTAATAACCTTATTGATTGTTGTTTGTTATACATATTGTCATTTATATAGAGATAAATTTATGTGAATCTAAGGGGTCTTATACGTTGTATGTCATTTACAATACATTTATGTGAATTTGAAGGGTTTGTAATACGAATGGTTTCATAAGTTTTTCTTTTGTTGGCATGTGTTTTGTGTTGCTGTTTAATATAATCTGTTAAAGATATTTATGAGAATGTAATTGGGACATTCAAAAGGTCTAATTATATAATCCTGAGACATTGGCTACTTTGAAGATGTAGAATTCCTTTGTTTTTACATGTAAGAAGATTGTTAGACACGTGGCTGCATTTGATTGGTGATGATGTGGATTCTTTTCTTTACATTTGGTTGGATGTTATTGGTGATGATGAGGAATATTTGGGTGATTAGGATTTTTTGTTATACATGGCTGAATATAATTAGTGTTGATATGTTTTAGTATTTATGAAACATATTAATAAATTAGCAATTACACTTTTTGGGCATCCCAAGGGTTTAATCTCTTCACATTCGCTTAAATTAAAACGCTTGATAAAAGAAAATGCTAGATGTACAAAGACTCTTACAAATAGTCTTTGTGCAAAGTGATGTGACATCTACCACACCACTAGTTTTACATCAATCTTCTCTTTCTTTTCATAAACTGTTGGTGTGACAGCTGCTACTTCATTTTGTACAAATATTCTTTGTATGAGTTTTTGTACATCTAACATTTCTCTTTGAATTAACTGCAAGAGAAAGAGAGTTGAAGTTCTTTTTTTCTATTTTATTTTTTCTGAATTGTTTGGATGTAGATGCTTAATTAACTTGGCATTGAGGCATTTGTGGGGGGCCAACCTTGGAAAACCTCTTTCTGAGGCTGCTTTGCAATGCTTCACATTGCCTTTTTCAAAACCCAAGTTTCAGGTGGGTTGTAATTTCTCATCCCATTTAACAGTGAATAATTTGAAACAAACTTGCATTAAAATGTTTCCAAGGTTGCAGTGATGGAGACTAGTAGTTATCAAATAGAAATTCCCAACAAGTATTTTTGCCCTTCAGTGAGTAGGCTTGAAAGAATTGTCTAAAATTGCCCATGTATCTCTGTTTGTTTTTTATGGATGGATACACAGAGATACATTATATGCATTTATATTTTCCACCTGATGAATTTTTGGCAGGTTCTGCACCCTCCTCTTTTATTTGGTTTTATCCAGATTTTTACATTGTTGATAATGAATAATTATTTGTGTTTGTGATGTCTATTTTCAGAGTAGAAGCACAACTCACATTTCACATGCACCTACTAAAGAGATCATCTGGGTGGAAAATCAACTATAGGTAATGAAGTTTAATAATTAACTCTAATACATTAATATAACTTTTCTCAGTCTTACTTCCTTTTGCTTTTGAGTGGATAAGAAATTATGTATAATAATTTGATATATAGGTAAATTTATTTTTTTCCTACAGCCAAATATATAATTTATATATATTGTTGAAGTTCTGATAGTTTGTTATTCTGCTCCGGTACTTGATGTTGTCGATAAGAAAACGTGGAATAATATTCATGACGAGTTCAAAAGGCAAACATAACTCAACTTCAATAACAACCAATTGAGAAAGCACCTAGATGTTCTACGGACACGCTACTATATTCTAAAGTCTGCTTATAATCAAAACGACTTTGCTATTGAGATATTATTTACTTAGATTGATAAAGTTTGCTGCATTTTTTTCATGTTGCGCCTTATGAAACAAAGGTTATTTACTTCCAGAGTGTTTGTATTTTCATCCTTAAACTCCTCAACTTGGTGTTTGTTTCATATTTATGTAGCATTTATTTGAACAAAAGATAAGAGGTTCTATTGAGATTAGTTTAATGAATGGCATTGGCATTATAGACGTAAAAATCTATTTGTACGAAAAGGGGGTCTGATCCC